TTTTACGTTCAGTGGATACTCTCCAAAATGGCACCAGGGTGACGCAGAGGAGACGAATTGTTGAATAAAGTCGTTATTTTTGTTTTCTTTGCGTACAAAAAGTATTCTCGTAGCTTCATAAAATTACGGTTGAACCCCTGATGTCACATGGATTATTTTACCGATCTCCTTGCTACGTTTCTGGACGTTGATCGTGTTACTTACATTGCTGTCTGGGAAGGGTCAGAGAGCTCTCAGAATTAATCAAAAATATCTTAATTTAAAGGTCTTACGGGTTTAGAACGACATGAGGTTGAGTAATTAATGACAATTTTCATTTCTGGGTGAACTATCCCTTTAAGCTACTAAAAGAAGTGCTTCCATAAGTCATCGATCCTCTTCTGACTATTATAAATTCGTCATCGTCATTAAAATATGTCCCAAAAACCTTTAAACTGGCTGTTATTAAGCCTCTCATTTTGATCTCTCATTTTGATCTCAACTTGATCCTAGAGAATTAGTTCATTTCAGAACGATCTCATATCTCCCTTTTCTGTCAAAAATACTAGAAAAGGCAGTATCCTCTCAGCTATGTTCCTTCTTAAGGCTGATTTAAACTTCTGCGTCGAACCTACGCCCGCGTAGCCTACGGCGTAGCCTGACATGCACCTCTCCAAAAATCTAACAGTGCGTCAATCCTACACGGACCACAAGTACTGTGATTGGTCTGCTAGAACCCCTCCCTCCGTATGTATTTGAGTTTTGTGTGTGTGTTTTGCACTAATATATTTTAATGTTACACCTTCTTATTTAAAATAAAACAAAGCAAAGAAAAAGTGTCTTATGATTTATTATAAAACATAGCACTACACATCACTTAGTTGTCCACGACAAACAATGTTGTTCTGCCATGGTACACGTCCTTGTGGAGATTGAAAGAATGCCATCTTCTCCTGTTCTGTTGTTGTCTCCTTTTTTTGTAGTTTTCAATGAATTATCTGTTATTTAATATTATTTGCCGCTGTCACGGCTGATGCTTCTCCCGACGAGTAGCTTGTTCTTCGGCTTTTAGCTTGATACTGTGGGTTACACCAGCAATCTGCCTGTGGACACTGCGGACTAGTGGTTTGCATGTGTAATTGCACGTCGACGTGGACAACGTATATTCAAAAGTATAAATGAAAACCATCACATAGCCTACGGCGTAGGTCCAACGCAGAAGTATAAATCAGCCTTTAGAGAGAAATGGCATCTGTGAGGTTTTCCAGGCAGGATTTAGACCATATCATAGTACTGAGACTGCTCTCATCAGAGTTACAAATGACCTGCTCTTATTATCCGATCGTGGTTGTATCTCTCTATTAGTGCTACTGGATCTTAGAGCCGCGTTCAGCACTATCGATCACAACATTCTTTTGAATGACTAGAAAATGATGTTGGCATAAGAGGAAGTGCATTGGCATGGTTCATACTTATCTGACCATTATCAATTTGTGGCAGTGAATGAAGAGGTATCATACCAATCACAAGTGCAGTATGGAGTACCTCAAGGCTCAGTACTAGGACTATTACTTTTCATGCTTAACATGTTACCTTTGGGAGATATCATTATGAAATGCTGTGTTAGCTTTCACTGTTATGCTGATGATACTCAGCTCTATATTTCTTCGCAGCCCGATGAAACATACCAATTCATAAAACTAACGGAATACATAGTTGATAAGAAACTGGAGGACTAGGAATTTCCTACTGCTAAGTTCAGAAAAAAGCAGAGGTTTAAATTATTGGCCCAAAAACCTCCCCATGTAACAACCTAAAACACTGTCTAATACTTGATAGCTGCTCTGTCAATTCTTCGACATCAGTTAGGAACCTAGGTGTGCTATTTGGTAGCAATCTCTCCTTTGAAAATCAAGTTTCTAGCATTTGTAAAACCAAAAAATATATCTAAATTACAGGCTATGCTCTCAGAAATGTAGAAACGTTAATTCATGCGTTCATGTAATGAATTTTTACTCATTTGTAAGGGAATTAATTATTATTATTGATACAAATCTGTCCTGCATTGGGTTTTTTGCTCCGCTGCATAAGTCCGTCCCCCGACGCAATCTTCCAATCGCCTTCTTGCCAGGCGGAGCATGCATACATTAACAAGAGGCCCCCATTTATTATGTGGAGAAATGAAGATTTGCAGGTTTTGTTAATAACTCATATATAGTGTCGTACAACGCATACTGTTTGAAATAAGCGCTTTTCACTTATTTCAATATTAAATGAACACATCAAGCATGTATATATACAAGACATACAACATATTATTTGTGAATCTATGGCTCCTGATGCTTTCAATAGTTTTAAATGAATAGTCTCAGAAATCGTCCTTTTCTTTGGAATGCAAAGGGGGAAAAGGGGAGGTGTCCTGAGGTCATCCACAACTTAATAAAAATATGTATTTATATCTGAAAACAACTAAAGAATTTGTAAGTCTTTTATATAGACCTATATAGAAATCTAGTGGCTAAACCATGGAATTGCAGATGCTTTTCTTGTTTTTACTCCCACCAGATGACACTAATCTGCCTTCAGAAATGGGATCCTAAAGGCATTGGGTCTCGTTCACTTAGCATGCATATGCACAAATTTGTGCATGAAACCTGCTTACGAAATTTTTCACAAACAAATGATTCTTTAAAACTTTCGTACTAAAATTTCTAAATTCCAATCTTAATAATCTATATAGAAACTATGGTAACACATTAGTATAGGGACCAATTCTCACTATTAACTTGTTGCTTATTAGCATGCATATTACTAGCATATTGGCTGTTTATTCGTACTTCTAAAGCACATATTCTGCATGAACATATTCTACATCCCTAATCTCACCCAATACCTAAACAGCAACTACCTTACTAACTATTAATAAGCAGCAAATTAGGAGTTTATTGAGGCAAAAGTCATAGTTAATGGTTTGTTAATAGCGAGAATTGGACTTTAAAATAAAGTGTGACCTAAACTATATAAATTGTATTTTTTTTTCTTAGGATAATAGCTATATATTTTATATAATTACAATAAAATCTATATTTCATCTTAAAATTATTTCATCATATACAGTGAAAGAGTAAGAAAAACAGTGTTAGACTATAGCTCACGCTGCAAGGTTTCTCTGAATAACAGTGCATGTATAGCCGACTAATGAAAGTTCTGTAAACTGATCAGTTCATACACTAAAGGTTTTTATTGTGTATGAACTGATTTTGAGGACTGCGCACTTGGCATTGCTCAAAGATCCAGCGAGAGCGTGTCTGTAGACAGTGTCATATGTGGTTGTGTGGAGTATCTTTGACATTACTGATGAAAGGCTGTAAAGAACTTGAGCGGAAAGCCCTTATATGGAGATGGTCTGGGTATGTTTTATGCAAATGACTAACCTCATGCACGCTGGAGCTCATTTAGAATATTCCAAATTCATTCAAATAAGAACGAGATTAAGAACAAATTCATGTGCGTAAGCACGTGTTGTGAATTAGGCAGAAAGTGAGAAGTTCGAATGTGCATTTAAATACAAATAATCTACACAATTATTAGTGAATGACACACATTGGGTCTCACTCACTAATAATTGCGTAGGTTATTCGTATTTACATGCACATTCCAACTTCTCATTTATCCGCCTAATTCACAACACGTGCGTACGCACATGAATTTGTTCTTAACCTCATCCTAATGTTGGTGAATTTGGAGTATTCTAAATGAGCTGCCGCGTGCACGAGGTTAGTCATTTGCATAAAATTCGCCCAGACCATCACCAATTAAGAGCCTGGCCAACAACCTTTCCTTTACAGCCTTTCATCACTCTTGTCAAAGATACTCCACGAATCCCCATGTGACGCTGTCTACAGACGCACTTTTCGCCAGATCTTTGAGCAATGCCAAGTGCGCAGTCCTCAAAATAATTTCATACAATAAAACACCTTTTATACAGACCCAGTTTACAGAGCTTTCATTAGCCGGCTGTACATGTGCTGTTATTCAGAGAAACCTCGCCGCGTGAGCTATAGTCTATGAGTCTAACACAGCTTATTTTACTCTTTCACTGTATATACATTTAAGATTAAATATACATTTTATCGTTATAGTATATATCACAATTATCCTAAGATGAAACATACATTGTCTTAACTATACTGTATATATAGCTTATATATCCTACATATATATAGTGTGTATATGTATATAGTTTATATAAATTTAATCTATAGATTATATAGATTAAGACCAACCAGAGTGTATTTTTTGTGTACGTGTGCATTCAGTTGTTTCTATATATATTTTTAAATTTAGAATAAATTTTAGTACAGAAGTTTTAGTGAATCATGATTTGTTTGTGAAAACGTTCGTACGCAGGTTTCAAGCACAACTTTGTGCATACGCATGCTTAATGAATGAAACCCATTGTCTCTATTTTAACAAGAAATACTGCCATAATTTAAAAGTATTATAAAATATTTTAAAAAGTTTTTAGTATTATTTAAATGGGAAGAATTTATCATAATTGTTGGATAAACATGAATTAGTACCATGAAAATCTCTCAAAACACAAAATAAAAAATATTGAATAAAACATATATTACATTGGCGCAGATGGCCTCGTGGGCAGCGCGCCGACATGTAGCGCCTTTGCGCTTCGGGCGTCCCGAGTTCGAGTCCCGGCTCGTGGACCTTTCCCGATCCCACCTCTCTCTCTCTCTCTCACCCACTTCGCTTCCTGTCAACCTACTGTCCTATATATATTACATTGATTTCACTGAAAAAGAAAAATTAAATTTCAGGTGTTCAGTCACTTTTGACCGCGAACAACACAAGTGTGTCTCCCAAGTGAACACTACCAGAGGATAAAAATACTTTCTCTAATGTATAATTAACAAGAAAAGGAAGGAAGATCTCCCAAGTGAACACTACCAGAGGATTAAAATACTTTCTCTAATGTATAATTAACAAGAAAAGGAAGGAAGACAAACTGCTTAGGATTGTTTATTTCAGCAAATTAATAAGAAAGGAAACAGTACGTATATGTACATACAAGGTGCTGGTAACACAATAAAGAATGAACTGGGCTGATAAAAGTTTTAAAAAGTCAGACCTGCGCATAACTAGAATAAAATTTCCATGCTTTTCCTGATCATAAATTTAAAGTTGCCTCTTATTTCCAGAGTTCTACAATCAGTAAACTTATTAAGATGTTACAACATTCAATTGAAATTGATCACATAATGAGCTAAAATACACCTACAATCAATGGGAACAAGTCATTTTGTTCAGTTTGTCCATTTATTTTTAAGCTTCCAGTTACATTTCACTGTAAAGTAGAAGTTTGACTAATATTTTGATTCAGAGGAATCAACACACTGAATTGAGTGACACCTCTATAGTTGAAATTAGAAGGAATCTACCACAACCGCTCAATATTTGAAACTATATTTAAAAAACATACAGTCAGGTATGGTCATATGAGTTAATATGCACAAAAATGAAATAAAAAGCCTTATGGTGAACCATAAAGAGGTGAAATATGCAAATAAAAAGTTTTAAAAAAAAAAGTAATCATGAAGGTAACAGTCAGATGTAGCCCACATTCAGCTGCACTGTGAACATAGACTTGATTTCACACAATGCTTTATTACACTGACTACACTTGAATGTCTTCCAAAATGATTGTGCAGATGATTGTAGAAATTACTCCTTTTCCTAAACCTTGTCACTCTGGGGAAAATGGTGATTTCTTTAGAGAATGAGTTTGCAAATGGCGTTTCATGCTGCTTTGAAATGTGAAACTCTTCTCACACTGAGGACACTTGTAAGGCTTCTCTCCAGTGTGAATCCTCTTGTGAATCTGAAGGTTTCCTTTAACCCTGAAACTCTTTCCACACTGTTCGCAGGTGAAAGGTTTCTCTCCGGTGTGAGTTCTCAAGTGATCCTTGAGGCTTCCTTCAGTTGAGCAACTCTTTCCACACTGCTGACACATGAGAGGCTTTTCTCCGATGTGAATTTTAACATGATCCTGAAGGTGATTCGTGTCTGTGAAACTCCTTTCGCACTGATGACATTTAAAACTCTTCTCTCTTGAGTGCATCTTCATGTGATTATTAAGGTTTTCTTTATATCTGAAACTCTTTCCACACTGATCACATGTGAATGGCTTCTCTCCAGTGTGACTTCTTATGTGAGTCCTAAGATTATCTCTGAGCCTGAAACTCTTTCCACACTGAGGGCAGGTGAAAGGCTTCTCTCCAGAGTGAATTCTCAAGTGGGTATTAAGGTTTTTTTTCTGTGTAAAACACTTTCCACACTGAGAGCATACTAATGGATTCTTTTCTATGTGAATTATCATGTGAGTCTTAAGACCTCCACTAAGTGAGAAACTCTTCCCACACAGTTTGCAGGTATAAGGTTTCTCTCCAGTGTGACTTCTCATGTGGGCATTAAGGTGACCTTTCAGTGTAAAACTCTTTCCACACTGAGAGCAGGTGTAAGGTCTCTCTCCTGTGTGAATTCTCATGTGAGCCTTAAGGTTTTTTTTACGTGTCAAACATTTTCCACATTGAGGGCATGTTGTTTTTTTAGTGTTTTCTCGTGAGGTCTTTTCAATCTGTGAGCAACTAATTGATTTTTCTTCCGTTTTGAAATCATGTTTCTCATTTTGGTCTTTCTCTTCCGTTTCATTCAGTTCTTGACTCTCCTCTTTCAGCGCCATCAGGTCTGAGGTGGAAAGAGACAAATACAAGTAAAAAACCAGTTTAATAGCATAAAGCAACAGACATCAAAACATTTAGACACGAAAAGCATCAAATCCAAACACGTATCCTGAATCCTAGACCTACTAAACTACTGAAAGAGGTGTAAAACCAGTAATCTCAGAACCTCCTGTCAATATTGTTAATTCTTTGCTTTCTTTAGGACCTCCGCTCATCTAGATCTTGATGGAGGGATGTATCATTACATTGTTTTCCACAATTACGGTTGGTTGTTGCATTCACACATTGTTTTGTTGACAATCATAGCCTTCTTTCACCTTATAAATGTTGCAGGCTCAACAAATAAGCTCTACCTGGTTCAAAATTCAGCACCTAGAGCACTTACTAGTCACACTGACCAGTAGCTGCGTTTCCATTACCCTTCAAATTGCACAAATTGAAATTGTGAATTTAAAATAAACCCAGTGGAAACCCATCAATTTTTGCAAAAACTCCCATATAGGGGGGGCAGTCGTCGTCTAATGGTTAGAGAGTCGGACTTGTAACTCGAAGCTTGCGGGTTCAAGTCTCAGGTCCGGCAGGGATTGTAGGTGCGGGGAGTGAATAACCAGTGCTCTCTTCACCCTCAATACCACGACTGAGGTGAGACCCTTGAGCAAGGCACTGAACCCCCAACTGCTCCCCGGGCTCTTCAGCAATATGGCTGCTCACTGCTCCGGGTGTGTGTTCACAGTGTGTGTGTGTGTGTGTGTGCGTGCGCGCACTTGGATGGGTTAAATGCAGAGCACAAATTCCAATTATTCCATGGTCTGTCTGATTACTGGATTCTGATTGGCTGGCAGGTCGCTGACTGCGCTGCACATACACACAAACTTGTCAACGCTTCCCCGTGATTTTCATTAATAAAATAGCCTAGATACTAGATCGCTACATTATATTCCTCAGCAACGAGGTGGTGTCGCTGTTTTTGAAGTAATTGTTTGTACAGAGAGACACGCAGACACAGCTACACACAACTGTCATCTCTCTCTGTCTCTCTCTCTCTCTCAAATGATCGATCGATAATTAATTGAAATACATGCTATAATTCATTAAAATAAATGTGGTCTTACCGCACTATTTAATCTCTGTGTATGATTTGAAGTGGGCAGAATGCTAGCGCTAACGTACGTTAACTGACGAAAATAACTAATTTTTACCCATTTGGTCAAATATTGTGCTGCAAAGAGCAATACTAGTTTTAACTTGTCTATAACTTGGCAAATGACCTCCGTTACGCGTCGGGCGGTTCTTTGCCTCCACGTCGTGCATTTAAAATCCTTTAACGCACGGCTAGCCGTTGATTATCCCTTACATATGAGTCACCATACTTGGCCACACGTCACTTAACTTATATATTGTTTGCATCAGGTGGTTTTTTGGGCAATTCAAAAAAGGAATATTTTGCAAAACTGCAATGGAAACTTTTTTTTTTCCATTTATAGGTCATTATTATCATGTATGATAATAATTACAATAAATAGACTAATCAATATGGTGTTTGTTTAATGATTATTTCAACAATTGGAAGTCTTAAAGGGGTGGTTCACTTTTTTTTCTAGGCTTGATTGTGTTTATGGGGTGCAGTCTAACGTGTTAATGCTTTATTTTTTTAAAAATGCATTATTTTTTCACATAATTTACCTTTATTCCACATCGCTCTGTCCCTTCTCTGAGAAACGAACTGATCATTTCCTGCTTTGATGCAGCCCCTCCCTCAGAAATAGGCGATGGGCTCTTATTGGTTAGCTAGCCCAGTGTGTTGTGATTGGCTAAACCGCCTCTAGTGCGCGTCTAAACATCCCGCCCCTCGCCTCAGCGGCATGTTCTCCGGTTGTATTGTAAACAACGGCGTCCTTAATATCGCTTATCAGTTTGAGCTCGATTGAGAAGCAGAGGATATTAGTGAAGAGGATCGTGCAGAACCTGTGCAAGCACGGCTTTTAATGGTAGGCCTATGTTTTTTGTTTGTTGTTGTCGCATACTTTTAGATACGCTGTTATTTGTAAATGCTACTGCTTATGTTAGCTTTTAATATACGGTTTTATCCTGATTAAAGCTTTAATACAGTACAGCAAC